AGTGGTAAGTTCAAAAATATTATAGTATAGACATAAAATTATTTACGAAATTATCAGATGATTCAAATCACAGTAGAACATAGTTTGTCTGAAACCTTATGCTCTGTTGCAGTGAAAAAACGATTGTTAGCGCAGCCCCTTTGAGGCTGAAATGTGGAACTCAAATATCTTCTTTGGTTTCATCATACTAACCGCAAAATACCTAATATTTAAATTCTCCAAAAAATAATAGTTCTTTTCTAATAACAATAGATTATCAGAAAATGGTGTCTTTTTTATCTCTATATTTCGAACAGAATTTTTTTCTTCTTTTGGCGAAGTTGCTACGGCCTGTAATGGGAAGTGTCTGTAAGGAGGCTGTCTGTAATAGGGGTGTGTGTGGATGTGGGTGTAGTTCATGTGTCAATCTGCCCTCACACCCACATCCACACCATTCGTGTTGAATGACTCTACGTCTTAGAACAATAACGATCTAAAAAAACAGTAAAATCAATAAATATACAATTTAGAAGTTCAATATATGATGTTAACTAATCATTTGATTAAATCAACACTCTGGAATGCATACAATGAAAAGCTTTTGCTTCTTTTTTTTTAGTACAATATAAGTATGAATTTACAAATACTTATCCATCACTATCTTACTTGTTTTATTCAATGAGAGATTACCGGGATTTAGTTTTTCTGTAAAATTTATTGAGGATTTATTAATTATGATTATACTTCAGCACATCAACACCAATCCCGACTTACCAAATACATTCCGATAAAATAAGTCTCGATAGCTGCTGTATTCAATATAATATTTCAATGACGTCGTTGAATAAGTGATTTATATTATGTTACTTATAAGGCTTTGTAATTATTATGGGAATAATTTTGCTTAGAGAAAGAGTTGTTTATTCGTTCACGGATTCCAGACTGAAATAAATATTCATGTCAACTGTGACACTCTTCATAAATATGCTTTTATGTTACTTGATTTTTCCTATATTCCTATCAGATTAGAACAAAACCACAACCGTTCAGTATTATTTAATATGAAAAAACATAAACAGACGACATTTGCGTATAAGCACCACCATAGAAAACACACACAAGTGTCGGTAGATAGAAGCATTTGCAAGAATTCAGCATAAGTATATATATAAAAAAGAAGGTCAGATTGCCGAAGCAGATACGCGAGTTAGAGATAGGTGTAAATGAATACAGATAGTTATTTATGAAATATGTGCAAAGTTGATGATAACATACTGAATGTTGTACAAAGTTTCGATCAATACCTAGTTTTCAGTTAAAGGCAACATTAGTGTGCTACCCTAGTTTTCGTTAAAAATACTTTAAAGGATTCCAATATTTGTTCAATTCTCTGAGTCTTCGTAAAATGTCGTAAGGAACCCCGTTCAGTAAACTTCCTTAACTTCGAAATTTACTCATATTGGACGAAGTTTCAATTTTCTCTATTAGATTGCATTTAGCGATAATATAATGCTGTTTTTTGCTATTTCACGCAATACATTAGCAGAATGAGAAAATATATCATAAAATCGGCCTATATCTCAATATAGTGTAAAATGGGATCATAGGTAAAAGATCGAAGAATCACTGTCTTTCAAACCATCCAATCATACCATATCGATTAAAAACTATAGTACATTTTTTGATGATACTTATTTTAGAAATCGATTTCGGGCAACTTCGTTTACAAACATCTTTATATCCAATGTAACCTTTGACTAAAAACATGCTGTGTCGTACTACTCGATCATAAAACAACTACAAAACACTCATCCATGGCATAATCAGGCGCACATAATATTGCGATTCCTGAAAATGTACTCAGTTCCATCATCCAATAAGACAATATCTCAAAATGCGGTATCCTGTTACGTCAAGCTATGCAGACTATCAATCAATATTCTAATATGTCATTAAACATAGCATACACCAAAATGCACGATACCAGACAATAAATGATTTACATGAAACGTATGGAACACAAATTACACCCTAACATTTAAATAAACAAGTTACAACCTTTATTTCTGATCAAATGTTCTTCAAAATCTTATACAAACACTAACTCAACAAAATCAAATTAGATGATTACACGCTACTCCCTACATAACTCATATTACAACTACCGTCAACGACGCCACAAATAAAAGAAAAGCAAAACACATTAAATCATAACTCAACAAAAACTAGACAACACACAAATACATTCTAACACCACGCAATTTTTATATCTGCTACCTACGTACCACCAATTAGATAGACGATACTTCGTCACCAAGACTGCATTCATCCGATTTCGTGCACAACGCCATCAAAAATTCGTCTCCATGCACCGTATAAAATGTAATACAACAAATACATCCTTCCCAGCCAGTGTATGACAGCACATACCAACGAAAAATCCTTCAATAAACAACTCATCGATTGCGCATATTTAAAAATTAAAAGACCAACACATCAAAGTATTGAGCTCCAATCGTTCATGAAATCAATCGACAACAAATGTCACTAACAAACAGTCCACATAGACATCAACCCAAAATTCTGCGATCTCCTCGATAAAAACAATACATAATACCATAAGCATAAAACAAGTAGAAGCTAAAAAAACTTCGAAACATGTCCTGCTAACATCCCACTAGCCATCATGAAGAAAAAACAAAATCAAAAGAACGCAAAACACAACGAAAACAAAACCATCTTCAGCAAACACTTCGCCACACTCTCATCGCCATAACCACAACCATCCATCGAATGCATTCACGTTTCAAGGTGCTTATTGAAAAAATCTAAACAGCTATTAATATTAGCCATGCACTATTTCTACCCACATAAATACCGACTACACTCACGGAACCTTAAAGCCGTACACCGATTTCCTGTAAGAATAACCCAGATCTCACATTTTGATGAGAATCCACACCAACAAGCATATATAAACACGCGGGGTGCTCCACACAAAACGAAACTGAAATCACAATCAAACCGAAGCACAAAGTCAGAACCACACAAGCATAAATCAACCGAAACCCTTCACCACACCTAACAGCGATGCTGCGATTTAAAGACTACCAACCGGGAAACTTATTTACCAACAGCCGGAAAGTAACAGCTGAAGTCAACAACCACAATATCATTCACGAATCGACAACAAGTCACCGCAACACACACCGCTAGTGTCATTACAAGAGTCAGCAATGACAAAACCGTTCACTAACCAACACCGATCCGCCACAACAATCAGCGGCCGTGTCATTTCGAGAGTCAGCAATGGCAAAACGCTTTATTAACCAACACAAATTCGCCCCAACTGTCAGCGGTGGCGTCATTCCAATAGTCAGCAATGCCAAGAAGCTTTACTAACCAACACACATTAGCCGCAATAGTCAGCGGTGCTGTCATTGTAAGACTCAGCAATCGCAAAAAAATTTACTCAACAACACCAATTCACTGCAGAATCAAGGGGTGGTGTCATTGCGAGAGACAGCAATGGCAAAAAACTTTACTCACCAACACAAATTCGCCGCAACAGTCAGCGGTGGTGTCACTGCAATAGTAAACAATGGCAAAAAACTTTACTCACCGACACCAATTCACTACAGAATCAAGCGGTGGTGTCATTGCGAGAGTCAGCAATGGCAAGAAGCTTTACTAACCAACACAAATTCTCCGCAACAGTCAGCGGTGGTGTCATTGCAATAGTAAACAATGGCAAAAAACTTTACTCACCGACACCAATTCACTACAGCATCAAGCGGTGGTGTCATTGCGAGAGTCAGCAATGGCAAGAAGCTTCACTCACCAACACAAATTATCCGCAACAGTCAGCGGTGCTGTCATTGCGAGAGTCAGCAAAGGCAAGAAGCTTTACTAACCAACACAAATTCGCCGCAACAGTCATGCGGTGGTGTCATTGCAATAGTCA